CATATACCTTCACATTAGGAAAATATGTATTTATGTAAGAGCATTTCAATTTTTTTTAAGATTTATTTCTTTTTATTGCAAAGTCAGGTATACAGAGAGGAGGAGAGACAGAGGAAGATCTTCTGTCCAATGATTCACTCCTCAAGTGACCGCAATGGCCAGAGCTGTGCAGGAGCCAAGAACTTCCTCCAGGTCTCCCATGCAGGTGCAGGGTCCCAAGGCTTTGGGCCGTCCTCATCTGCTTTCCCAGACTACAATCAGGGAGCTGAATGGGAAGAGGGGCTGCTGAGATTAGATTCAGAGCGCATATGGGATCCAAGTGCGTTCAAGGCAAGGCCTTCAGCTGCTAGGTCACCATGCTGGGCCCAGATTTTTTTTTTTTAACTGGGAAGACAGATTCACAGAGAAGGAGAGCGAGAGAAAGATTTTTCATCTGCCTTCAGTTTCCAAATGGCCACTGAGGAGAGGCCAGAGCCAAGCTATTCGAAGCCAGGAGCCTCTTCCAGGTCTTCATGCAGATGCAGGTGCCAAGCCCTTGGGCTGTGGCCCATATGTGTTTGAAGGTGGGAGGTAAGAGTTGCCCTTGTAAAAGCAGTTAGAAATGTCTTTCAGTATAGAAAGAAAACTATCTTTTAAAATACAGTAAAGTTCAAATTGATTAGTAGAATATCATTTAAGATTTTGATTTAGAAAATACAAATATCAGCGTTTTCCACCAATATGGCACATTGTCGATTTGATGTGTATTCTTTCTTCTTTCTCTTCTCCATTTGGCCTGATACAGCCACTGACTGTGTTTATATTTTGTGAAGAAAGACCTTTTTTTCTCCTAAGATTAATTATTTTTATTTGAAAGGCAGATTTACAAAGAGAAATATCTTCCATCTGCTAGTTCACCTCCCCAAATTACTGCAATGGCCAGGAGTGAGCTGATCCAAAGCTAGGAGCCAAGAACTTCATCCAGATCTCCTACATGAGTGCTGGGGCACAAGGACCTGGGTTATCTTCCACTGCTTTTCCAAGCCACCAGCCAAGCCAGGAGCTGGATCACAAGTGGAGCATCTGGGACTTGAATGGGCCCCACAAGTGGTTCTGGCATCTGCAGGGGAAGATTAACCTGTTAAGTCACGATGTTGACCCCAGGAAGATTTTTTTTTTTTTTTTAAGGAGAGTAGTGCTCTGGTAAAAGGTACCTCCTTTGGAGTGAATTTAAATAACAAATGATCTTAGGGCCCCTGCGACATTGCCTAGTGGCAAAAGTCCTCCCTTTGAACTTTCAACGCGTCAGGATCCCTTATGGGTGCTGGTTCTAATCCTGGCCACCCAGCTTCCCATCCGGCTCCCTGCTTGTGGCCTGGGAGTTGGGGGGTGGGCATCAAGGACAACCCAAAGCCTTGGGGTCCTGCACCCACATGGGAGACCTGGAAGAGGCTCCTGGCTGCAGCACAGCTCCGGCTGTTGGCAGTTACTTGGGGAGTGAATCATTGGATAGAAGATCTTCCTCTCTGACTCTCCTCCTCTCTATCTGACTTTGCAGTAAAAATAAATAAATTTTTCTTTAAAATGCTCTTAGTAATTAAGCAGATTTTAAATAGTACTTTTCCTTCCTTAAAATAAATCAAGAAGTAAGGTACTTGGATTTAGCTCATTTTATATTTTTAAAAGAAGTTGAGTTTTTTGGAGAAAACTTGCTTATATTAGCTGACAATCTGTTGCTGTTTGCTTTATTAAAAGTCATCACATTGGGCCCAGCGGCGTGGCCTAGCGGCTAAAGTCCTCACCTTGCATGTGCCGGGATCACATATGGGTGCCAATTCTGATCCCTGGCAGCTCCACTTCCCATCCAGCTCCCTGCTTGTGGCCTGGGAAAGCAGTGGAGGACGGCCCAAAGTCCTTGGGACTCTGCACCCATGTGGGAAACCTAGAAGAAGTTCCTGGCTCCTGGCTTTGGATCGGCATAGCACCTGCCTTGCACTCACTTGGACGGAAGATCTTTCTGTCTGTCCTCCTCTCTATATCTGACTTTCCAGTAAAAATAAAATAAATATTTTAAAGAAAAAAAGTCATCACATTGTTCCTGTGTACGGTAAGATTTATTATCCAGAGCAAATGAATAGATTAAGGGGATTTTTTTTTCTTTTAATGTAACCTCTCCTATGTATTGTTTGATATCTTTACCCACTTGGATTTTTGTCCTTTTTTTGTGGTTTGATTAATAAAGTTAAGATACCATTACTTAGCCCAGGCAGAAATGTCACTGTTTATTTTCTGTGAATTAACTCTTGAATGCCTCATTGTAAATGGCCTTTTCTCTGGAGTACTCCTTGAAAAGTTGACTTCGTTGTGTGTATCAGGATAGATGCTCTTGGGCCTGGAACCTTTTCATTAACAGAAACAAAATTGTGAGGAGGTCCACATAGCGCTTTCTGCATTCGTGACAGAACTCAAATGTACAAAGTATAGGCACTGATGCTTTAAGGTTATTTCCAAAGCCTCTTAAATATTACTCTTTTGGAGATCTTAAGTTCTTTCCCGTAATTATTTTTAATGAAGCAAACGACTTGTTCTCTGTCGAGTTGATCTGCTTGTGTCTTTGAGGTGATTTGACGGAAAATCCCACCTTGACCCTGAGTACTGACTTATTGAGAAGAAGGTTTAATGAAAGATTGGAAGTTACAGCTGGTTCTCCCCCTTTATACTAATTTACACCCACAACCACCCTTGCATTATGGAAGAGAAGTTTACTCCTGTTCTCAAGTAGCAGTACAACAATTTCACAGCCTGGTGATGACCAGTTTGAAAACAGCTGCTGTGGCACAATGTCCTTCCTCTGTCCTCAGCTGCAGTTGGGGGAGGGACAAAGCCCAATTGTTACTTGACCCCATCCTGTCTGCCTGTTAGAAGGCCTGTTTCCCACCCTGACGGTTGCTGCCTAACAAATGGTGTTTCTTTTTTACAGCATTATGATCCTGGACTTGTTGTGGTGATGGTAAACTTAGCAGTGGTAATTTTAAATTTTCAGACTGAATTACTCCTTTTGTCATCAGTGCACCAATATGTTAGGCTTCCTTTCTCTGTCGTAGCCTTCATCCTTCTGCTTGGTCTTTTTCATTTTCCTTTCCTTTCCTTATGCAACTTGTCTGATCCTTGTTCATTAAAGGTAATGTTAAGAAGGGATGTTTCTGTTTGTGTTAGAATTGCCAAAAAAAAAATCAGTTACACCATTAAATTCTAATATTGTCAAAACTTGATTTCCCCCCTTCAATGTTATGGGCACTAGCACTTGCTACTGCAATTTATTATAAATAAGTTGAAACAAACTTTGACTGCCTTAGAAGGCAAAAGTACTAATACAGAGTTTACAAACAGGGGTTTACAGAGGTAATGAATTTGTGCCAAAACTTTATTGATTCTTGTAAAACAAATTCTGGCAGATCCAAAAAAGAACCAAAATAAATTCTTTTGATGTGTCTGAATTTTCATTGGACCATTTGTTTTTACCAGTAAATCCCTGACTGAGACGTTATGAAAGTGATACTGCACCTAGGAAGTCATTTTTATAACCTGTCTTTAATTTGGTCCTTTTGCTAAAGATTGCAGTCACTGCTTATTTATTATACCATTGGGCATAAGATAGTAATGCGTTTTCATTTTGTTTCACAGGCAGTCTTTGATAGTATTAAAAGAAGGCTGTATTGTTGGGGTTATTTTTTTCTAACATAAGATGTTCTTTTTTACTTAAACAGGTTTTTTGTGTGTGTGTGTCTGGATAATAATTTCCAGTTATTTCTATTGTTCAAAAAGGCAATGAGATGTTGGTGATAAGGTAAACTTTGGAATTTTTCATTGTATTTTAAAAGCAAAACCTTAATCCCAACAAATGAAGAGCAACTATGGATGCAGTGGTTGCTGCTCTCTTCATTCTTCCATGGGACTAAAACTATCATGATTATGACATTTGATTTAAAAAAAATTTTTTTTAACTTCAAATTTAGCTTGACAAAGAAAAATCAATTTTTAGCCCAAAGGTATAATATATATGTGTGTGTATTATAACAACAATAAAAACAAAAGCAGTTGTTTATACCAGCCTGAGTGAAATGTTGAGGGAAGTAAACATTGTGTTTTTTCACTAAAGGTGTACAACGGATAAGGTAAGTCCTCTTTTCAGTGGGCTTACATCACAATAAACAGCGCCCGTTGTGATGTAAAACAGCTGTGGTAGTAAAGTGCTTGTCTGCCCCATTTTGCTTTGTTTGGCTGGTTATGAGTGGATTAAATATACATTTATTTAAAAAATCTCCAGCATAGATCAATAGTTCAAAGTCAATTTTCTTCGCAACTAGTCCTTTTCACAGCTTACCATTTAAGGCAGCCACTCCAGGAATGGGACTTCAGAGTATCCTTTGTCCCTGAGGGCACTTAACTGTTGCTTTCTATGTAAAATTTTCACAGCCCCATTTAATTGTAAACAGCTTTTGAAAACACTCCCTCCCCCCCCCCAAAAAAAACTAAGTACTTGGAGTTGTAATTTACAATTTTACTGCATCATGTTTGAAAATGTTTTTCTATTTAAACAAATCAGTTGAGATTTATTACCAATTTTTAAAGTATATATGGGAGGTTGTCAGAGAACAAAGTAATTCGTGCTGGGAAGTTAATTGGGGAATTTTTTTTATAAGAAAAAACTTCTAAAGTTTTTGTTTGTAAACCTCATGGTTCCATTGTTTAGAAGTGCTTTGCATTATTTATTTACTTAGCTTTGCTGTAATAATCTGCAATTATCCCCAAATGGAAGGTCAAAGAATGTGATCAGTTGGGTTTTAACTATAAACATAAGGTTCTGGTGTAAGCTGTGAGAATGGCTTGTGTTTGGTTCACTGTAGCTTTCTGGTCTCTGCACTCCAAGGCAAGATCTCTAACCACCCAAACCCATGTGTAAAGTGAGGTGTTGGGTTGGCTTTGCATTTACCTTGATTCTGTCTGTGTTCCTGTTACAGGGAGGACAGATCCCATCCCGATTGTCGTCAAGTATGATGTCATGGGCATGGGTCGTATGGAAATGGAGGTAGGTCGATCTCATTTGTCTATTTTGTAGGATATTAAAAATTAATACTAATTCCAAATTGATAAGTCAGTGCAAGAAAATTAAATGCGGGAATATTTATCAGATCACATGAGGCTTGAATGTTTTTCCTTGGATAGTTAAGAGTATACAGAAAATTCTCAATTATTGCTGCCTTTAAGGCATATGGGCTATGGATAATGTCTTGGTTTCACTGGTGCTGGTTTCAATCGGCAGTGTTAAAATATTTGCTGTGGTTAAAGGTTTGCCATTAAACAGTGTATGTGGGAATCATCTGTGATACCTACATTTTATGCCCTAAATACTTTCTCCATTTATTATCAGTTTTTTTGGCCGTGAATGTTGAAATCTGTTATCATCAACAGATGGCCTATAACGAACTGCCAGTATAGAGGAATGAACTATTTTGTGTGCTATTTTCTCTGCAAGTGATAATAAAACAAGAAGTAGCTGAGCAAAACTGTTTTTATTGTTTCTTTGTTTCCAAGCGATACTGTGGTTTTGCAGTGACTTTTCTGGTAACTGATTTTGGATGCTTTAAGAATGAAGACTAACCATAGCATTTTTTGTCCAGCTTGATTATGCCGAAGATGCTACTGAGCGACGGCGTGTCCTAGAAGTAGAGAAGGAAGACACAGAGGAACTGAGACAGAAGTACAAGGTACCAGCTCAGCCTTGCCGGGGGCGGTATACAGAGTAGAGGAGATAGACTCCCTGTGGGAAAGAGGAACTCTGTTACTGTTAGTGTTGGTTTAAACTTTTAGGTGGTCATAGTAAGTTTCCGGTTTCTATTGCTTTTCTATATCTTGCCTCTGTACAAAATGTAGAGATATTAATAACCACCTTATAAATGTGCTGAAAAGTCCATTGGAAACACAATGCCTCCTGCTACACAGTCAAGTCATAGAACCAGAAAAAAATGGTCACTTAAGAGGCTGTTAGAGTGTGATGCCAATTGATAAGTTTTCCTTTTTCTGTTTTAAAAGATGAAATATTTTTAAAAAAATTTTTTTAACAATTTTTTTGTTCATTATCATTTAAATTCAATTCTGAAGCAGAGGTTTGTCTTAGCCAATGAAGTATTAAAGTTACTCTTCTAATATTTTTCTTTTTCAAAGCTTTTTTCTGGTTTCATATTATTTGAAAAAGACTGAAGTGCTGATTTATTTCAAAAATACCTGCATTTGGGCCCAGCGGCGTGGCCTAGCAGCTAAAGTCCTCACCTTGCATGTGCCGCAATCCCATATAGGTGCGGGTTCTAATTCTGCCAGCTCCACTTCCCATCCAGCTCCCTGCTTGTGACCTGAGAAAGAAGTCGAGGATGGCCCAAAACCTTGTGATCCTGCACCAGTGTGGGAGACGTGGAGGAAGTTCCTTGCTTCTGGCTCTGAATCGGCATAGCATCGGCCGTTGCGCTCACTTGGGGAGTGAATCATCGGAGGGAAGATCTTCCTCTCTGTCTCTCCTCCTCTCTGTATCTGACTTTGTAGTAGTAATTATAATAATAATAAAAGTACCTGCATTCGATAGGATTGGACCGGGCCAAAGCCAGGAGCCAAAAACTCAATCTATGTGATTGGCAGAGGTCCAAATTCTGAAGCCTCTGCCTGCTCTGTCTGCCATGATGTGCGTGAACAGGAAGCTAGCATGGAAGCAAAGCCCAGTCTTGAGCCCAGGCACTCCCATATGGCATGTGGATCTCCAAGCAGTATCCTAACCACTTTGTCAGATGCCTACCCTGGCTTTTACGGTTGCTTGCTGTTTTTAAGAACATGTTCTAATAAGTTAGCTTTGAAAGAGCCTCATCAAGGAACGTTCCTTTCAAGATGTGGAATGTGCCTAATTTGTACTATGAAATAACGTAAAATAGAATATTAAAAATAGCCTTCTTTGAGAGTATTATATGGAAACTTACCTCATTGTAGTACTTACAGTTGGGAAGAAAGAAAAGGGTTTTAGTTTTTAAAATCCATAACAAGAGGTAAAGCCATCCCTTCACAGTTGTAATTCACACAGGGAGCCGTACATGACCCTGACCCACAGCTTGGGGCCAGTGCCAGCATCCAAAACAAACACCAGTTCAAGTTCTGGCTGCTCCATTTCCATTCCAGGTTTTTTGTTTGTTTGTTTGTTTTAAGATTTATTTATTTTTATTGGAAAGGCAGATGCACAGTTAGGAGGAGAGACAGAGAGGAAGATCTTCCGTCCGATGATTCACTCCCCAAGTGACTGCAACTGCCAATGCTGCACCCATCCAGAGCCGGGAACCTCCTCCAGGTCCCCCACACGGGTACAAGTTCCCAAGGCTTTGGGCCATCCTCGACTTCTTTCCCAGGCCACATGCAGGGAGCTGGATGGAAGTAGATCCTCTGGGATTAGAACTGGTGCCCATTTGGGATCTTGGTGTGTTCAAGGTGAGTACCTCAGCTGCTAGGCCAAGGCACCGGGCCCTCCAGCTCCTTGTTAATGTGCCTCAGAAAACAGCAGAGGATGGCTGAGATCCTTGCATCTCTGTACCAACGTGGAAGACCTGGAAGAAGCTCCTGATTTGTACCGGCTCTGATCTGGCCATTGGAGCCTTTTTTCTTTTTTAAAGATTTATTTGGTTTTATTGGTCAGACTGAGCCTGCTGATTGACTCCTCACATGGTCGTAATAGCTAGATCTGAGCTCGATCCGAAGCCAGGAACCAGTAGCTTCTTCTAGGCCAGCCTCCACTGCTTTCCCAAACCTCAAGCGGGGAGCTGGATGGGAAATGGAACAGCTGGGACGTGAACCGACACCCAAATGGGATCATTGGCGCTTGTAGCCTGAGGATTAGACTGAATCATCGTGCCAGCCCCCGTTAATGGAAGTGTACAGCAGATGAAAGATCTGTCTTCTCTCTGTGTAACTCTACCCTTCAATAAATAAATACATCTTTTAAAATAATTTAAATTTTAAAAGTCTCAAACTTTTGAATTGCTTATGAATATGGTTTATGTATTTTGATTTCACTGAATTGGTGAAGGCCTAGCGCTGTGGCCTAGTGGCTAGATCCTCACCTTGCAGCACCAGGATCCCCTGTGGGTGCCGGTTCGTGTCCTGACTGCTCCACTTTCCATTCAGCTCCCTGCTTATGGCCTGGGAAACAGTATAGGATGGCCCAAAGTCTTGGGACCCTGCACCCGTGTGGAAGACCCGGGAATGATTCCTGACTCCTGGCTTCAGATTGCTCTGGCCATTGCAGCCACTTGGGGAGTGAGCCAGCAGATGGAAAATCTTTCTGTCTGTAAATCTGACTTTCCAATAAAATAAAATAAATAAATAAATAAATCTTTTTAAGAAATGAAGACAATAATAGTAATATTTTTTAAGACAATGAAATAATCCACCAGGGCCCGGCTGTGTAGCACAGTGAATTAAGCCAGGTTCAAGTCCCAGCTTCTCTACTTCTGATCCAGCTTTTGCTAATGTGCCTGGAAGGCAGTAGACTATGGCCCAAGCACTTGAGCCCTTATCCCAACTCTGGTTATTGTGGCTATTTGGAGAATGAACCAACAGGTAGAGGGGCTCACTTTCTCTTGTCATTCCGCTCAACCTGCCCTTCCCTCTCTGTCACACTGCTTTTCAAATTAACAAATCATTGTTCTTTTTTTTTTTTTTTTAAGAAGAAGTGATATAGTGATACACCGACACGAGGCCATGAAAGAATCAGTATTGTCAGTCTTGGAAATCAAGGATTTGTTAGTTTTGTTAAGATTATGTACATGTTAGATTTATTTGTTTGTTTACTTGCTTGCTTAAGAAAGAGATACAATGCTTGCTATGACTTCCAATTGTATTTCCTGCATGGGTGACAGGAAGCCTGCTTCCCTAGGCACATGAGCAGGAAGTAGAATAGTTAGAACTTAATCCAGGCACACCAGTAGGGGAAGCAGGTGTCTTAAATGGCAACTCACCCGCTGCACTAACCACCCACCCGTATCTTAGCACTTCAGAATCATAAGGCACTTCCCACTTGGGATTTGAGATGCAGGTTTCCTGGAGAGTTTACACATGCCTGAAGGTGAGATTTTAAAGTGACCCCAGACTGGGGCTGTTACAAGTGGTTGATAGAAACAACTGGAATTGTTAAAAGAAACTTAAGGTACATGGATTGTAAAGTGAACAGTCATAAAGATTAGAATACTCGAAAGAAGAATGAGACAAAAGCAGTATTTGAGGAGGTAATAGCTAAAATTTTTTTCAGCACTTATAAAAGAGACTAAAATAGTACAGATATGAGAACCTAGAGTCTCAAACTGGTGAAATAAATAGACACCTTTTGTAGACACATTTTTTTGTAACAGAGAATATTTAAATCACAGAGGTCTTAAAAGCACTCCGTTGAAAGTGATTTTCTGTAATAAAAATACAGCCTGCTGGCTTCTCAAAAGCTGCCTTCCAGAAGCCACGATGCAGTGGAATGATACAGGCAGAGTGTTTGCAAGCCTAGGGCTAATTTACATGTACAGTGGTCTCTGGGGAATGAAGGCTAATAAAGACAAATCCACACAAATGGAAACTATGAGAATTTGCTCAGAGAATAACAAAGGATGTGCTTCAGAGAGAAAGTGATCACAGAAGTAAGGTTTGACGCAGTAGAATAAATGAAGAAGATAGGAAATAAGGGTTAAGTAAGTGTAAAGCACTGTGTAAAAATTCCTTACAGAAGTTGAGAAGGGGAGCTGGCATGTCACGCGGTGTAAAACTGTTACTCATAATGGTGGTATCCCACGTGAGTGCCACTTAACGTCCTCACTTTTCTACTTCCAATCCAGCTCCCTGATAATATGCCTGAAAAAGCAGCAGAAGATGGCCCAGGTGCTGATAATATACCTGAAAAGTAACATTACAGAAGGTTAAAAACCAAAAAACTACACACCGATGGTCCAAACAAAACATTGTAGTTTTGTCAAATAAAATAAACATTAAGTTTTAGCATTCACTTTACAAGCAAAATAAGCAGTGTTAGATTTGTAAGTACTTACATCATTGCCCAAAAATATACAAATGAAAAAATGACAGAACTGTAGGGAGAAATGTGATATCCAGCATCACGGGAAACTTTAAACATGTCATTTCAGTAATGGATAGAGGAAGCAGAGAAAAACAAAAATATTAAACTATTTAGTGGGTAGGCCGTCCTCTATTGTTTTCTCAAGCCACAAGCAGGGAGCTGGATTGGAAGCGGGGCTGCCAGGATTAGAACTGGCACCTATATGTGATCTTGGCACATGGAAGGTGAGACTTTGGCCAGTAGGCTACTGCACTGGGCCCGCCCTTTTAACTACGATAGAATGATGCGCCATAATGTTTACCCATGTAAAGCCTCTAGCTGAGTGGTTTTTGTTGTAGTCCATGAGGCTTCGGAGCCATTGCTGTAATCTAATTCCAGAACATTCTCGTTGTTCCACAGTCTTTGACATGTATCTAATCTGTTTCGAGGGTTCTGTTTTGTTGGTTTATTTTTTTTTAAAGATTTATTTTTATTATTTTGTTTTTTATTGGAAAGGCGGATATACAGAGAGGAGAGACAGAGAGAAAGATCTTCCCTCCGATGATTCCCTCCCTAAGTGAGCGCAACGGGCTGACACTATGCCGATCTGAAGCCAGGAGCCTCTTCCGGGTCTCCCACGCGGGTGCAGGGTCCCAAAGCCTTGGGCCGTCCTCGACTGCTTTCCCGGGCCACAAGCAGGGAGCTGGAAGGGAAGCGGGGCTGCTGGGATTAGAACCGGCGCCCATATGGGATCCTGGGTGTGCAAGGCGAGGACCTTAACCATTTGCGCCACCGCACCGGGCCCGGTTTATTTTTTTTATGAATATGTTTTTAGTTACACAAGTCTATTGGTTCTGTCTGCATTCCGCATAATTATTTTATGGTGTTTTATGCTTGATTGATTTTATAATTTCATTGTATATTTTTATAGTTAATCTGTATTTTGTGACGGACTATTCTACTATCTGATCATGGGGCATTCCTATTTTGCTTTTTTTGTTTTTACTGTCAGTTAATGAGTTTCCTTTGTGTGTAGTGATCTTTCTTGTAACTCATCTTTGGTTGGTCTCAAAGTTGGGAAAGTTTTAGGGTCAAAATTGAAGGTGCTTTCTGAGAGGCTTCTTATTTCCTTCTGCCAAAATCAAGAGATTCTGAAATCTCTACGGCTGACCCTGCTCACATACCACACCCCAGTGTTTTTGTTGTACATCCTCCTGTGGTTTGAGCACTGCAGTCAGAAATTGTGTATTATATGTAATATTTTAAATTTTAAGCAAGGGAAGGAAGAGAACGTCCTAGAGCATCTAATCCTACCATATTGGCAAAAGAGATGAGCAGTTGAACTTATTTATCTTTAATATTTATTTTATTTATTTGAAAGGCAGAGTGTCAGAGAAGTGAAGTGGATAGAGAGAGAGAGAGCAATCATCCACTGATTCTCCAAGTGGCCACCATAGTTTGGACTCAGGTAGACTGGAGACAGAAGGCAGGAATTCCATTCAGTCCTCACGTGTCTCTCAAGTCCTTAGACAATCCTCCACTGCTTCCCTAGGCACATTGGCAGGAAGCTGGATCAGAAACAGAGCAGCCAGAATTAAAACACTATGATGTTGGGATGCTGGAGTCATGAGCCGCTGTACTTTATCTTCTGTTCTATAACACCAACCCTGAAATTAAACTCTGAAAATTTTGTTAACTTTAAGGAAACAAATGTTAGTAGTAATATTAGCCTATCAGATTGCCACTTGGGTTTCATCTGGCTATTACTAATAAGTACACTAATTTTTATGAAGTTTCCATTGATCCTCAGCTAAGGCTATTTATGATACCTTCAGTTCTATCAAGTTCATTTGTTTGCATTTTGTGGTTCTTACAGGATTATGTTGACAAAGAGAAAGCAATTGCCAAAGCCTTGGAAGACCTAAGAGCCAACTTTTACTGTGAACTCTGTGATAAGCAATATCAAAAGCATCAGGAATTTGACAACCATATCAACTCCTATGATCATGCGCACAAGCAGGTGGGTAGTTCCTTGCTGACAAACAGAATGATTTTTTCTCTCTCATGGTAACTATTGAATTTTATAAATACGTTCAGAAGACTTGGACTACAGGTTTCTTACATCTGCGAGTCTTTATTAAAGATCATCTGCATAGTTCATTCTTGCTAGTGGCAGAAATTCCAACATAGACACCTGTTTTTCCTCCTTGCTGTCTCCACCTGACTATTTTAAATAGAAAGAATTGTGAGTTCCATAAATCAGATATGTAATTTTTTTTCATTCTGAGTGACTTGAGCTTTATTTTAATTTGATAGTTTAGGTGAGGTTTACTGGGAGGTTTATTTTTTCTTTAAAGATTTATTTATTTTTATTACAAAGAGAGGAGGAGAGACAGAGAGGAAGATCTTCCGTCCAATGATTCACTCCCCAAGTGAGCGCAACGGTCTGTGCTGTTGCCAATCCAGAACCGGGATTCTTCAGGTCTCCCACACAGTTGCCGGGTCCCAAGGCTTTGGGCTGTCCTGAACTGCTTTCCCAGGCCACAAGCAGGGAACTGGATGGGAAGTGGAGCTGCTGGGATTAGAACCGGCAACCATATGGGATCCCCCCATATGGGATCCTGGCGCATTCAAGGCGAAGACTAGCTGCTAGGCCACCACACCGGGCCTGGGAGGTTTATTTCTATTTCTGCTTTATTCTAAACATGTTAAATTTTCAGGTGTTTTGAAAACCTGTTATGTTTTCAATTTCTGTAAAAGTTTGTACTTTGTTTGCAGCTATTATCAGTATGTCATTTCGTTATTCAATATGCTTTGAAAGTAGATAAATCTTGTGAATGAAATAAAATTAGATGGTGTCTTAAACAGAACACTCCTGCTGCTTGCTGAAAAACTGAGAAGCTAATCACACTTTCTTTGCAGTCTTTTCTCTTCATTGGGCTGGGAAAGAAATTTGTACCTGATTACTGGATTACAGAAGCTGGTAGTAATTCTGAGAGATTTGAAAAGGGAGAAATGAATCTTGAGATTTGTAGAACTCTGCCTTTTTTTGATAGTTTTGGTCCACTTGATTTTGGGTCAGTTTCCCTAACTACTATAGGTCTTTGTGGGCTATGGTAATTGTATGCTAAAAAAATTTATAAGCATTGCCAAAATAATTACCTGTTCTCATTGAACCAAGACTTTTTTTTTCTAATGTATATCTCATCTTTGAAATCGGCTGTGAGATTTCAGTGCACAGGTGAAAGGCAAGCTTTGACCTGTTTTACCCTTCCTGCTCCTGGGATACTGCTGAGCCATCGTGTTACATTATCTGTAACAGTCTTGTCTATGTTGAACCACATCTAAACCAATTTAAGATTGTTCCACTTAAAAAGTTGTTTTCAAGATAGTTTTTCAATATTATTATGTACATGTGGGCATTGTTTTAATACACTGTCAGCTGTACTTAATTCAAAGAGAAATTTAGAGAAAATATAAATGGATTGGATGTTGATGATGACCTTATTCCTTTGAAGAGTCATCTTTCAAGGAAAAAAAAATATTGCAGTGAATATCACCTGTTATTGACTTTTCTAGTTCTTCAGTGTATCTATAATTTTTCAGCTTATTTTTAGTAGATTAGCATTTAGCATCTAAGTACATAGCTTTTTGGACTCTTGAAATTTTCTTGCATTGAAAAGTATCTGATCATTTAGGCCAAAAAAAAAAATTTTTAAAGGTACAATTTTAAGTGATGAGAAGTCTGAATAATATTTGAGACAAAAAAAGGAAACCAAGAAGACATCAAAGCAAGATAGATCTAAATTAAATGTGAAAAAAAGTACAAAACTAATGAAGCTCACATTGAAATCATGAATGTGATAATGTTTTAGTGGTGGTGCTGTCAGCATGAGTGAAGGGGAAATGTTTGGGTCATTTGAATCTGCATGTTTATTATGTGTGTACCTTATCTTGATTTTCTTCCTCCTTTTCTCTGTTGTAATGATTTTCCAGTCTAGGGAGATTTTATTCCTTGAGAGTACTTAGCAGTGTTTGCAGGCATTTTCAGCTGTCATAGTTAGAAGCATGGTGCTGCAGGCATCTGGTAGACACAAGACACTTTGCTGCTAGACATTCTACAGTGCTAAGGAGTGTCTCTAGAAACAAAGACTTGCTCCACTGGAATGGCAATCAGTACCACTTAAGTGGATAAACTGTCCTATCAGAATTACTGGAAAACTTCTAAATACATATGAAACTGACATTATCTACCTTTGCTTGTTACATAGACATCATAATCATTTTACTGTCCTACTCATGTTATAAACTTGTACTAAATGCTCATCTAAATAATCCAGAATATTCACTTGCAACTTTTTTAGATTCTCATCAATGTGAAAATAAATTGATTTCTTGTGGAAAACTCATGGACCGTCTGTCCACTAATATAGAATGTAGCTGTGATCTCTGGTTTGGGGAAAATGTTTTAACAGGATTAATGAAAAATGAGTTTATTTCTTCAGCTTAAGCCAAAGCTCATCTTAGGTATTAAAAACGAATAGATTCTTCTTAGTTTTTGATAGAATGCTTTTCATTTGGTTGAAATAAAGGCCGTTTCATCTTCACATTTCTGTCTTGTGCTAACGCTAGACTCTAGATTGATATAAAATATAAACAAAAGCGCAGTGCTAAATTTCTTTTAATAATTCAAATCTCTGCATGTTGACTTCCAAGGAACCCTTAATTGACCTTGTTACAACACAACTAAATAATCTATGTGCGGAACAGCTTTTCTGTTAAGGGCCCTCTGTTTGGGTAAATACACAGCTTCTGCAGCCCCTACATTATCCAAAACTATCATGCTATGGATGTATTGAATTTCAAGTCTCATCTGCAGTTGCTTTGCCAGACCAAATGATTTTACAGTCCTTATACAGCCTGCTCTAGCTGGAGGTTGGGCATATTTTTTGTTCTTTTTTACGGACATAAATTTATCATACCAGTGGACCTTCCATTTCTCCAAATTCTTGTGCTAAAGACATAAAGACACCCTGTCTTGTCTTCCAGGAAGGCACACAGGATTATTATGAATCTGAGATAATAGGTAAGTACTCTGGCCCTGTGTTAGTAATCCCTAGTTTACATACTTTCACCATTAAAATTTCTCAGAGAAATAATGTCATGTTAGTGGTAAACTACTAATGTAGGCAGGGTTCTGAGCATACCCTTACCTTTATTAAACACAATTTCTGATTCATAGTGATTTTGTGCTCCCTAGCCACTGGCATTTTTCGAAAATTTACTAAGATTTTAGGAAGTCATTAACAGAAATATTAAGACTTAGCTTAATCTTCAAAAATGAAAATGGTAATAAGACATTTTGGCTCTTTGGAGTTTAAATACATTTTTAAATCTCCAGCAGCAAACCTTGCTGTGTGTATAAATGAGTTCTGATGGGCCTCAGTGCTGGATAACCATAAGCGCTGATTATCTACCCTCCTAGCTTTGTTACAACTTGCTAAGGTTGAAACTAAAACGTTTCCATTCCTACCTTCTGGTCTTTGTAAGGCTTCGGGTATATTTTTTTTAAAGCTCATGGCAATGAAAATTGTTGTCCTTAGATTTTCAAAGTGCTTAAAATTCAATTCAGAAGAATATTCTGCCTTCCCTCCACCCGCAGCAAATTTGTAGCACCACACTTAAGAATCAGTCTCCCTCACCCTCTTCCTCTCTCTCCTGTTTTCTTGCTTGGCATCTTGTCACCACACCAGATTCTGCAAATCTTTTCCTCTTTGTGCTTCTAAGGGTCCTTCTGTTACATAAATCAGGATTAACACAGAATGTTTCAGAGATACATCTTGCCTGGTGGTCACAGTGATGTCTTTTCCCCTCTTTAATATCACTTAGTTTCCAACTTTTTTTTTTAATTGGAAGATTTTGCATAATTCAGTGTTTGGCTTTTCTTGAACAATTTAAAGTGTCTGACTATATTGGGGCCTGCATTTCAAACTAACAATGGCTGTCTGTTTCCTCACTCTGTTTCGCAGTGATTTTCACTTCATCTCTTCCTACGTGCCACCTGCCAAACACCTCTAAGTATCATAGTTTGTAGCCCAAAACTCTAGCTTTCCTACCTCTCCACACAGGGTCCTGCCGGTTCTAACACTGGAGGCATAGCACCTGAAAAGCTGCCTCCTTACTGCTACTGTCGGAACCAGCTTGCTTGTGATTTTCTGCCTGGGCTAGTGTAATCCAGCCATCGCTTTCTAGTGCTGTGATGCAGCTTCAGAAATTCCCTCAGTTTACTAAAGGATCTGTGTTTTGGAGGAAGTGCTTTTAGACTCTCTCTTCTTTTTCTAAAATAGCCTTAGTATTTCAAAAACCTTTGTACTTTTTACATTTTCTAAAAAGACTGATGTTTTATTGAATATCAAGGTCCGTTTTAGCAATGAATAAAACTAATAGTTTTCTGAACTAAAGATCAGTTTGTTTATTGGAAAGGTAGAGTGAAAGAAGCGGGAAATAGAGAGAGCTACAGATTATCTGTCTACTGGTTCACTCCCCAGATGTGACCACAGCATCCAGATCTGGACCAGGTTGAAGATGGCAGCCGGGAACTCCACCCAGGTTTCCCACTTTGATGGCAGGAGCCAAGTACTGAGCCACCATGGTGCTGCCTTTCAGATGCACCACCAAGAATTTGAATTGAAAATGCAGAATAGCTGGAACTTTGTGGGATGTGGAATTCCAGGCAGTGACGTAACACACTGTACAGAAACACCTTCTGAGCATTAAATAGATGAATTAGAACAGATGAAACTTACAGCAGTTATTCATGACTTTTCATCTAAATTGTACAAAATAGAATATAATGGCATGATTTAGTTAGCCTTGTCTAAACTGTTTATACACTGCTATTTGATAGTGTTACTTTTTCTTAGTTGATTATTTCGATCAGTAGCATTAGTAAGGAATAGAAGTTTTAGACTTTTTCTCATTACTCAAAAATGCCATATGGGCCCAGCACAGTGGCCTGGA